AATTTTTTCCAATTCTCTTCACAGCATAACGTCACATTACTTATTCAGCTGTTCGTTTTTTTGGGACAGCGTCGTCGTGTTTTTTTACACGGCAAAAGCCTTCATTTGTGTTGGAACGATTGGCTAAAACTCGGGTTTTGTTTAATATTCTTACATATGTCACTCTGTATTGAAAATGGCAAAACATCCTAAGTGCGAGACCTTACTGAACGTCACGATCGAGGCTTTTCTGAATAAGACACAAGACGTATCCAGAAATTAGTGCAAAGTAGATTTCCAGGGGAGAAATAAAATATGAATTGAACCTACTTGCTGCACTGCCTCCTACCTTGTTCCAATGAAAGTGGACGCTTTGCATTCATACACCGTAACATTTTAGCATGTATTACACGTTACATTGTTTTGGAATGCTGCCGAAGTGTCGTGGTTAAGTGAAGCAAGCCTGTAACTTTCAAACCCAGAGTTTGCAGGTTAATCCTTTAACACCCCTCGCCATATGCCATCTCTATCCACCCAGCAGGGTTCGTTGATGGGTAAGGTCGCGTGTGTTGAGACAAAGTGCGTGGCCATGCCAGCCTCTTCCAAGACGGCTGCCCCACGTGCAATAGTAAACCCTGTTGAGCGACTATCCTGAGCAGTGTTCTTCAATGCAAGGCCCGCGTGCCACTGTTGGGCCCCTGGTGGCCTTTGGTTGCGGGCCTCTGACATGCGGCCACCCGACAATGCGCTTGTGGGGGCGCTGACACTGATGATGGCTTATGGGCGAAAGTGCCTCCCCCCCCTCCCCGTCCGAAAATTTGTGAATAACACTGATCGAGAACTCCCTACAGTGGAGGCCCTTCCACCAGCAGTGGTGTTGGAAGAAGCAATAGCAAGGCTGCACCTTAACTTTGTTTTAATAGGTGTCCTTCGCTGCGCTATCCACCATCACCGATTATAAACCACAAAATAAATAAGAAAACCATGTGTCTCTCTCGTCTATATATATATTTCTTTCCACGTGAAAATAATAACAAAAAAATTACACAAGCCATCAGCCGCAGGAGTGCATGATCTCAGCAGCATTCGTTCAAGACAAGCAAACTCTGGACTGGTTTAAGACATATCGTTTCATAAGCAGTCAGGCTCGCTTGCATCAACTGACCTTACAGGCTAGGATGCTTTCTTTTTATGGTGATGGGTCCTACCCAGTTGGACCCAAATTATCTAATACATTAAATACAAAATAATTATAACGTGGCTTAGTTGAAGAGCTGAACGTGGGAAAGTGACAACGTGACATTATCCACTAGAAAGAGCTCAATGCAGCCTCACGAGAATGTAATTGGTCTACTCTTCCACACTGGCCATTGGAAGAGGTGGGAGTAACCCACACTTTATCCCACCACGTTCGCCCTGCTGATCGACCAACTGTTGTGTACCCACGCACACTGCTGGGTGGATGGAGGCAAGGAGGCATTGAACACACATTCATTGAACATCGTTTCAACTGCCGCTCCCGGAGATCGAATGTAGCCAGAAACCTCCGTGTTTCAAGTCCAGCGTGCACACCGCTACACCATAGCCGAATACTCAAAGAGTAAATAAATTATAGCATTTAAAGAGCCACGACGTAATGCTTCAGAAACACGCAAGCATTCACCTCCGATGTCCGTCTGTGTATACAGCTGCGCACTTACTCAGTATTTATGTATTTTAATTGCTTTAAAATCCGTGAATCACATGCACAGGGACATTTTTCACGAAGGACATGTTTGCAGAACGCGTCTGCTGATGTATGCAGGTTTGGGCTATTAGTGACCATATTCCCGTGTGTCCACGGTGTGTTTTGTGCACGTGTGTTACCGTGTGTTCGTCAGTGTTCGTGCGTGTGTGTGAGTTTCTGCGTGTGTGGGCTCTGTGTGTGTGTGGGTCTGCGTGTGTGCGTGTTGGGAGCAGTGGTGCCTCGCTTATCGCCGCTACGCTACGAACCCGGTGCGAACCCTGAGTTCGATTCCCGCTCACGGGCCAACATCGGTGACGATTATCTGAACCGGTCCTGGGCCTCCCCTAGGTCGACTCGGCCTCAAATGAGTATCTGGCGCGGTGTGCAAAACATCAACAACTAGGGAGAAAAAGGCGGCCGGGTGTGGTTGCTGGCCACCAACCCCCGTTGTGTGCCGTTCCGGCCTCCATTGATGCTCGCTAACAGCACTTGCCCCAACAGTCTGGTAAAGGCTATATGGGGGATCTTTGTCTTTTGTGTGTGTGTGTGTGCTGCGCGAGGGGAGCGGCGGGTTCGCGACCACGACCCCAGCGTAGTCACAGTGGCAAATGTTTAAACTGGCGCCGGGCCTCCCATAGGTCGACTCAGCCTCATACGGGTATCCTGGTGCGGGTGCGTAAACATTCCCACTGGGGAGACAAATACGGCCGGGTACGGCCTTGGCCACAACACCCCATCGTGTGCCGCAACCGATCTTAATAGGCGCTCGTGAACGGCACTTGCCCCAAACGATCCGTTAAAGGCGATATTTTGTGGTATATTTGTCTTTGTGCTGAGCAAGCCTGCGGTTTTAAAAAATGAGCCCCAAAGGGACACAAACTCACAGGGTGATCTGGTGCTTTTGCCCATCACTTGGCAAATAACGCGATGCACCACAAAGAGTCCTAGGAGCAATCAGGATTGCCTTTTTTAAGCCTGGCTTGCTTCAAGTTTTTGCAGCACATCACAGACAGACAGGTGCATCACAGAGCAAAAATAAAAAGTGCTCAATGACAGAAACTGCGTTATCTTCTCCTGTCCCGTAGGCGTGCATTGCTTGATAGCCTCATATACAAAGGGTGATAATGCACATGAATATATGCAATTCCCAGCTAAACATGAATGAAATGAGACACGTGGCATCGGCACAGACAAGCTGTACCCAGCAAGTTCTGCGAATTGATGGCACCGGAATGAACCACACTTAATATTTTATTACCTTTAATTATTCATGCGCAAATCACATTTTTTGGTTTAGCCACTGGCGATTTTTCACTATTCAAAATTGATTTCTTTAAAAAACATAATTAAAAGCGCATGTTTTCAGAAGCAGGTTTCAAGTCGGCGACAGACTTTGACTAGGTTTGATGAAGAAGAAAACAAAGATTAAATGAAAAATCACCTTTTAAACCTAACATTTACCCACATTGATCCAGGGCATATCGCGTCCCTGTAACGTAACCCGCACGAGCAGAGAATCATCGAAGCATTCGACACTAAGACGATCCTCTATCTCATACTTTTAATTTGGTTCCGTGCAGTCGGCCAAATAATGTAAAGAGGCGAATAAATACTTTATTCCTGGAGGCTCTCGTGTGGGGGAATTAGTAAATTTGTCAGTAGTTGCCTCGCGCAATTCCAGGAGTGTGAGCTCCCTGTTTGTTGTCCTTCCCCCGCACCTCCGATTAGCGTGGTTGCCTAAGTGCGTTGCAAAAGAAGTTCAGCATACATACGTGCGAGCATGGTGTAATCGGTCACTAAGTCCATGTGCGCAAGCTCTGTTAGGCACTAACTCAAGCGGTAGCTTTACTTGGGAGGTTGATGCCATGGTTGGTGTAACGGTCAACGCACCGAAGCTGTGATCCAGAGGTCGCCATTTCGGTTCGATCTCCCGGTGTGGCAGTTGCAACAATTAAGGCAGCTTTCTAAAATCATCCCCTGCCACCTCTATCCACCCCGGCAGTGTAAATGCATAACAACACCACAGTTAGTCGACCAGCAGATCGCGTGTGGTGGGTGAATTGTGGGTCCTTCCGGGCCTCTTGCAAAATGTCTGGCTGATGTTGACGAGCAGGCCAAATATATATATTCTACAGGGACTCTGTAGAGATGCAGGTGGAGACTCTACTGTCAGGAGCGACGTGAGCAAGTAATTGCAGGGCTGCGTCTGTTCCATTTACGAACTAAATTTGTGCAAGTTTCTTGCAACTTTTTTTTTCAAAATTAAAAATTATAAAGCGAAACGAGTTTTACATTTACAAGAGGGCGCCTACAACCACATCATCCTGAACTGCAGCCAATCTCAGTAGCTCAGCAAGGTTGAGTCTGGTTAGTTCTTGGACGGCAGACAGCCCCGTAGAAGACCAACCAGGTGCTGTAGACGTGGGATGCAAGGTGGTACCAGAAGATGGCACCACAGCAATGGGATCTTTAGAGTTACTTGCCTGCTGATATTAATGTCCACGTGATAAGCCACTTTTGTTGAGCCGTCATTTGTGGCCAGGTCACTTCTGAAAAAAAAGAGCTACGTAGCTCAGCGGGCTTTGTCTGGTAAAATAAAAACAAAAATTGTTGTGAAGTTTCTGTGCCATGCTCGTACACATGGTAAGGTTTTCTCCAGGTACTGTACTCCAGTTTCTTCCTACACGTAACCAAACAAATTTTTAATGACATTGGCCAAACATCTCAGAGCAGGACCCTCTTGAAGCTCAATTGAGTCTATCCTGGGGAAATACATGTCATTATTTATTGATATCATTATTATTATTATTTTTTTCCGCCTGAGGACGACCGCTTGTGTTGTGATCCAAAAGTCGAGATAAATTATTTTTTTATTTTATTTTTCTACCTATGTGACTTTACCGTAATAACCAAAGTATATTGCTACTATGTGTGGACCAGTGTGGAGCTTGTAGTGTAGTCTACAGACTCTGAATTGATCTCGAGCATATTTTCCCCTCTACAGACTCCCAATACGCCGTGCAAAAAAAACCCGTTACTCTTGTGAAATGTGGTGTGCAGTGTTTTGCACGTTAAGAGGATGAGAGGCCAGGCTTAACAACCCGAGCGAGCGCCCATTTATTGCTATTGTGCTCGAAAGTATGTCCTCAAGGGACAAGATTGAAGCAGTGACTTCAAGTCTCGGAGCCTTAAGGCACTGGTAATTTGGTGAATGCACCACAATCTTCAAGGGTGTCTGACGGACACCTCCCCTTCATGCCTCTCTCTCAATAGCTCTCCCCGATGTGGTTTTCAGGTCATGCCGCGTGTCGTCTGGTACCACGTCCCGACGTTCCGCTCCACGCACGCCGGGAGCTTCTCCGGGAACTGGTTTGCGCGGAGCGAAATCATCAGACGTGCTAAACGACGTGCGGCAACACCCGAACAAAAACATCTCAGGGCGACACAGCCACGCGCGTGAAAAGCCCAAGCAGTAGAACGCCTCTCTAATTTTGGTCGGAAGCTAATGAAAACTTCATAGCGCATAGAGAGGCCAGGAAAATTGCGAGGATAATAAGGAGTTCACACCGTGGGGCCTGATGAGAATAAAAAAAAAACCAGAATATTCTGATGACCATTTGTCAAATAGGTGTCTGAATAATTACGTATTAGTAGAGTCACAGGTATCAAAAAGTGAAACTCACGGTATCGCAGCACATAGAGAGGCCAGGAAAATTGCGAGGATAATAAGGAGTTCACACCGTGGGGCCTGATGAGAATAAAAAAAAAACAGAATATTCTGATGACCATTTGTCAAATAGGTGTCTGAATAATTACGTATTAGTAGAGTCACAGGTATCAATAAGTGAAACTCACGGTATCGCAGCACATAGAGAGGCCAGGAAAATTGCGAGGATAATAAGGAGTTCACACCGTGGGGCCTGATGAGAATAAAAAAAAAAACAGAATATTCTGATGACCATTTGTCAAATAGGTGTCTGAATAATTACGTATTAGTAGAGTCACAGGTATCAAAAAGTGAAACTCACGGTATCGCAGCACATAGAGAGGCCAGGAAAATTGCGAGGATAATAAGGAGTTTACACCGTGGGGCCTGATGAGAATTAACAAAAATAATTTCCGATGACCATTTGTCAAATAGTCGTCTGAATAATGACGTATTAGTAGAGTCACAGGTATCACAAAAGTAAAAACTCACGGCATCGCCACGCTTCAACTATACTTGGTGGTTTGCGGTGTCGAGGTGGTTGGTGCGAGTGGTGTGGTTGAACAGCCAGACGGTGGTGATGGGACTGGACTGGCCTTTAATAAAATCTGTGAATCGGACTTAATGCTTGGATTTCGTTTCGTTCCTCACTGAACAGGGATTGAAACTTTGAGATGCACATCTCATTTCCGAATGGGGTTCTCTGATAAGATGGCAGCAGAACATAATTTACACTTCGAATTTGCAAACAAACACAACAATGCATGATTAAAATAGAATAAAGTAGCACGCATAACGATTTAAATTCTACACAGCATCATTCATGCTAACTGCATCTGACAATTTTTACAATAATAACATGCATAATCACATTAAGCGCTGAATCCTATTCGTAGCAATGAAAGTAAATCAAACGCTAAAAAAAAATACGAGAAAGAATAAACAAATCAATAAATGTTATGGAAACAAAAATCTCAAAGTTATCACAACATAAGTATAGAAAATTACGTATCGTACAAATGTCCAGCTCTGAGCTAGCCATTTCCGCACCTCCGATTGAGTGCGGCTGCCTACGTACGGTGTGAAAGAAGCTCAACGTATTTTGCTTCCCCGTCATATCAGCAAGGGCAGTGGGTGTACTAAAGTGACATCCCAGAGCAAGGTGCCAAGCTCTCACACGAAGCCAGCATGGTCGACTGACAAAAAACACTGATGACCAATTTAGATGTGACTTTCTGTTTCTGTTTATCGGCGTAATGCCCTGCTGAACAATACACAATTAATAGCGCACGCGAGCGTGGGTCTCGCCACCGTCTTTGTTTTCGCGTCCACGATTTCCGTTGCCGCTGCTTTTTTGTATTTGCCGTTTGCGCCGCTTGAGAGTCCGTATTTGATTTGAACGCTCAGCCGGTGGTACGATTTTGCAATTCCACGACCGAACGTGAAAGCAATAGCAGAGCTGCACCTTTAGCTTCTCTTACCGTCCACATCATCATCGTCATCACCACACGATCCATGGGGCAGATAGCCCATAAGCGTCCACTGCGCATTTGGTCATTTATTTCCACTCTCCTCTGCCTTGTGCCAACATGCTCACGGAGCGCCACATCGTTCTGGCTCCAATCTCGTAGATTATCGTGCCACTCTCTGTTAGGGCTTCCTCGCTTTTCGGTTCCTTACATTTTTTCCAAACAACACACTTTCAAATAATTCCTGCTGTCGTCCATCCGACATATGTGTCCAAATAGTGACAGTGTCCTTCTCATCACCGGCTGCACCATCCGGTCTTTGTCGATGTGCAACCTTTGAATACAGGTTCCTGCGTGTGCACGTAGGACGTCTTTTGTCAATCCACTGCTGTACGAGGCCCCCCCCCCCCCCCCCCCCCCGGTTCGTACCCTGTGTACCCACGAGAGACATATATATATCTGACCATACCTGGGTTCAATGCACGTTGGATTTCGCTGCAGAGACATTTCTGCACAGCCCTCTGTCGCCAACAACGCCGACTGCGCCTGGCTTCCGTGAACGGTGGACGTCGCCCATCCGAGGGCTGTCCGCGTTCAACGCCGCTGAGCCTCCGAGATGTGACGAGATCGGGCGCATTCCGGGCGGCATTTTCACGTTGTAACACGCACGCATATGTTAAAGCCTTAACGTTTCCTACATTTAAAAAAATATATATAATGCAAGACACTTCCAAATGAACGGGTAGTTCAATTTCTCAAAGCGCAGCCCTGCAATTGCTTGCTCATGCCACTGCTGGTGGAAGGGCATCCACTAGACGGAGCTCGAGAGCGCCACGGCCGTTCGTGTAACGGCGCAGTATCCATCGATACTGCTGGCTGTTTGCCAATAATCACAACAACAACAACAAAAGCCGCATACGCTCATGCACCAGATGTCCAATGAATTATTGTGCTTTAGCTACAAAGGAGAGAATGCACCCAAAGAGGTTGCCCACCGCAGAGAAGAAGTAATGAGAGCAATCGATGAGCTGTGAAGAGAAGGAGGTTGGCATCGGAGGACCAGCGAGGAGAGGTGCCAGCATGGGAGGCCTTCATCCAGCAGTGGATGGATGATGGATGATGGTGAGGTAAAGGTACTCAAATACCGAAGTACCGCACTGACAGCACACGCCCCGTGCAAGCATCTGTGTCTCTGTCTGTGTCTCTGTCTGTGTGTCTATCAGTTTGTCTGTCTCTCTATGTGTCTGTCTCTCTATGTGTCTGTCTGTCTGTGTGTCTGTCTGTGTGTCTGTATGTCTGTCTGTCTGTGTGTCTGTGTGTCTGTATGTCTGTCTGTGTGTCTGTCTGTGTGTCTGTCTGTCTGTCTGTGTGTCTGTCTGTGTGTCTGTATGTGTGTCTGTCAGTTTGTCTATCTGTCTGTCTGTCTCTCTATGTGTCTGTCTGTGTGTCTGTCTGTGTGTCTGTCTGTCTGTGTGTCTGTCTGTCTGTCTGTCTGTTTGTCTGTCTGTGTGTCTCTCTATGTGTCTGTCTGTTTGTCTGTCTCTCTATGTGTCTGTCTGTGTGTCTGTCTATATGTCTGTCTCTCTATGTCTCTGTATGTCTGTCTGTGTGTCTGTCTATGTGTCTGTCTGTCTGTTTGTCTGTCTGTCTGTCTGTGTGTCTGTCTATGTGTCTGTCTGTCTCTCTATGTGTCTGTATGTCTGTCTGTCTGTCTGTGTGTCTGTCTATGTGTCTGTCTGTGTGTCTCTCTATGTGTCTGTATGTCTGTCTGTGTGTCTGTCTATGTGTCTGTCTGTTTGTCTGTCTGTCTCTCTATGTGTCTGTATGTCTGTCTGTCTGTCTCTCTATGTGTCTGTTTATCTGTTTGTCTGACTGTGTGTCTGTATGTCTGTCTGCGCGGGGCAGAGGTCATCTACAGATGCCCTCGCTGTCAAACAACTGCTCCGACGAGAGCGACTCCGATTAGCACGGTCGGCTACGTACGGCGTGAAAGAAGCTCACCGCACGTACGACGCACAACGTCGCCACGGCTGCTCAGGCGCACAAGAGGTTATCGACAGACGCCCGAGGGCTGTGTACATTTGGGAAGGGGATTTTGTGAAACTCCTGTACCCCTTCAACCTCTGGGAGAGGAGGGAGGGTGGGAGATAGGGGAGGGTTGGGGGGAGGAGGGGAGGTGGGGAAAACCACAGACACAAAACACAACGACAAAAGAGAGAGAGAAAAAATCGAGCGTTAAATGAACAAGGAGGGAAAAAAATGAAGTGAAAAAAAACGACGAGCGACAAGGTTCAATGCCACCGGCCGAAACTGGAGACCTTTGTGTAATGGATTTTGGATGCCTTACACGGTTAAACGTCAGAGTTCAATCTCAGCAGGAGTAATGCACAGCCCTCTTTAGAACTCGGAAGGTCAGCTCAAAAGCTTTTCGTACGTTGGCTTTCAAGAAAAAAAATGAATTCGCGTTTACAATGCGCGGTGGGTTCCCCCCGTCCACCCCCGCCCCGTCTCTCTCACACTTCCAACTTTGTGCACGCGTTACATTTGCGGCGCGTGTAACAATTGCCAAGATGATTTAAAGCCCCCGTAAGTAAATAAATAAATAACGTGCCAACGATGGGGGGGAGGGGGGCTCCCTCAGATCACGTGCTGATGTATGAGATGTGGATTTCTGCACATTAGTCCCCTGGTGTAGTCCTGTCTAATCCACGGGATGGGCCAATTCCTGGCTATGTTTTATTGCATGCGTGTGTGTGTGTGCGTTTGTTTACGAACCTGGCCACCCAAGTTCGATACCTGCTCAGGGCCAACATGAGTAAATGATTATCTGAACCGGTTATGGGCCTCCCCTTAGGTCGACGCAGCCTCAAATTAGTTTTGTGCCTGGCGCCTTTGTCCCTCGCCAATCGAGAGACAAAGGCGGCCGGGCGTGGTGCTGGCCACCCACCCCCTCGTGTACCGTGCCGGTCTTCATAGTTTCCCGTTAACAGCATTTGCCCCAGCTGTCTACTAAGGCTATATGGAGGAATCTTTGTCTTTGTATCCTGAAATCCATTTGACCCGTGCTTAATAACTGGTCACGGTAACAAGACTTAAGGCGCATTTTGTATCCGAACTTGACCTGTGCCCCCCTCTAAGTCAGCTGGGCCATAGGGAGACGAAGACGACCTTTAGCGGTAGATGCATTCCAAAGAAACAAAAGGGCCCGACAAAGCAAAATCGCGTAGCGTGGACCGCACAGGCCACCAAACCCACAGCGCACGAGACAGCTGCCTGCCGAGTAGCCCACAGATTGGTGTTCCACGTCCGACCGCATAGTCGCGCATTAGAGTGAATTGAAACCACGCAGAGCGAATTGTGGGGGGAGGGGGGGGGTTAGTAGAAATAGTTTAGCCGCATATATGCAGCAAGAAATCGCACAAACCGAACCCGCATAGTGCGAAGGAAACCCAAAGTGCATTATTGGCAAACGGCCCTTTCCTCGAACAGCAAGCAAGGCTAAAGAGGGGATGTTCGTCTTTCTCTATTTATGCACGAGTGTATTTAGTTAGAGAGGACGGGGGGGTGGCGACAGGGGGGCGTAGTGTATATATCTGCCCCGTAGGTCATTCACCTCCGCGTTCCGTTAACATCCAGCGCTCGCGGGCACACGGGGAATCCAAACCCATTTCGAGAATTTGAAATGGCCTTGCGCGTAACCGATCGATATTAATTGCCCGTGGAGAGAAAAATAAATAAATATAATGAAATAAAATAAAATTGCATTATGGCACAACGCCCTACTACCCCCCCCCCCTTCCCCAACGTATGTGTCCTTGTTAATTGCAGCGAGTTGGCAGAACGGCAACGTCTGCAATGAAGCCTTCACTTTTTAGACTGCGAGGTACCCCATAGGTGGAGCGTGCTAAATTAGGTTAATTCGTCTTTCGTGCAAAGGAGGCTTTCAATTCACATCGCCAACGCGCGGAATTTAAGTGTGCAGCGTGTGCGTCACTTTGACCAGCGCTGTCAACAATTGCGGCCGCGTAGCATTAGGGCGTTAAAGGTGCAGCCCCCGAAACTGCTTGCTTACGCGTCTGGCGGTGGAAGGGCCTCCAGTGAAGATTGACCTCTAAAGAGCCCTTCCAGTGCTGGCCCAGACGTCTCAGGATGTGAGGGAGTACTCACCTTTGACCCCACCACACGCGACCTACCGATCGACGGTGTGGTGTGCCCATTTATACGACAGCTGATGGTCCAATCTAACTTTTCACACTCAATAAGTGCTCGCCACAAATGAACCACGATATCTTGCTGATCTCGGCAAAGAGCGTAAACCATCGCGCAAACTCCGGTCGTCCTCGCAGCGGCTTTTAGCTCGCCATCGAACAAAGACGGTCA